CATATACTTTATATTTCAGTGTATAGATTTTGTGACTAACTGACATAATTTAGACAACCTTTTGAAGACCATGGAGGCACTGCACAATTGTGTTTCGTTCTAGCTTGGGCTTCTTCAGTCATCTACCAAACGATGAAATCACACCTGAACATTTAGGTTACCGGATAAGCGCTTTAATCATTCGGTCACCCACTGAGCTGGAATCCAGTGACTCGAGGATTTTGACTTGTGTCAATCCGTAGTATGTAACCACTAAAGTTTATTGCTATCGATGAATATCTGTCATCGAATCCGGGCTAATAGAACTCACTGATCATTTCGTCGGATTAGAACACTTTGGAGTCACTTACTGACCTACTGTGTATTTCGTCTCTTATAACCAGTATTGTTTTTCTTTTCTGCCTTTTATATTTTTCTTCCTTTATACCTTTGTGATTGAGATAAAGACTAATACTGGAAAATTAAGAGAGAAAAATTGTCTACGAGGTTACCTTGTAACCAGAAGGTCCTTGGTTCGAACCCCGTGTGGTGGGTGCGTATTGATGAAGAGTCCAGATTGACTAGGACCAAACAGCTGTTCAGTACTGCTTGTTAGTTTTCCGATGGTGCTCTACCGGATGTCAGCTCATGATGAAATACTCCAACCAATAAAGGAGAAAAGTATTTTATTGATATTCGTCATACACATCTGTCTTTCTCTTACCCTTAATCACGTGCGTTAATTATGCCATTAATAGAGAGCTGTTTCGTTCTAGTTTGGGACTCTTCATCACTATGCATCCACCACAGGGGTTCGAACCCAGGACCTTCTGGTTACAAGGCGGGCTAGCTCCTAGACCATTAAGCCACTGGGACCCGATCCGATAGTCCATGAATTCCAACTACTGTCCAGTACTCCCAAGGTTTTCCAGTGGTTCTCTACCGGATGTCAGCTCATGATGAAATCTTGTAACCAACTAATCAAATTCCTTTCAAACCGCGATACAAATGGATTGCACAATGTATAATTTTGGAAAAATAAAGAGTCATTAAGGAATAAGCGAGTGTTAAAGTTGACTATGTAACAGATGATTAGAGAAATGAAATGGTTTGGACAGTGGTAACTTGTAATTAAACATGAAGTTAGAAAAAATAATAATGAAATAATGTGGACAATTATAATTTTTAAAAGGCTTAGGGGAGTGAAGGACAAAGTAGTAAGGTTTATACATTCATGTAAGGATGACCAAGGCAAGGAAAGTGGTTGTACTGATTCCTTGTGAACGCACAGGTTTGACTTATTCAGGTGGATCCCAATGCCTTTGTATTGTACTATATAGAAGACCAACGATGAGAGTCTAACTGAAAAGGAGGTATTTCTTCGCTCTATTATTTTGCCTCCTGAATGTCTAAATGCGACTTTCTTTTCTATATTATTAAACATTATTTCCGGAATAAAGTAGACATTATTAATAATAATTAAACAATTCGCATTGTGTCATTAGGAATATTCTGCGAAAAGACTCTTTTCAACGAATTTATTATCAAGGTGTACAATTGGTAGATATATCTTTTCAAGTATTGATTTTGTAGGGATTTTTGTTTAACTGCTTGTAGGATTTCATCCTGAGCTGACATCAGTTAGAGAACCATTGGAAAACCAACAGGGAGTACTGAACAACTGCTACCTTGTCGTTGTGGTCAGGCTTGAATATCGTAATGACCCAGCATGCTAAACTGACTTGGACTCTGTCCCTGCAGGTCCTACCATGTCAGGAAGGTTTTCTGGATAGCGGTTAAACTAAAAGCAGTTATCATGGGGTACATGGGCTCCAGTATCCAATCGGATCAAATAGCGTATGAACCCATATGGGTCACCGGAAACCATGGGAATGCAGCTCCTGACGCTGCTCCGCTGCCTTGTGGATTAGACTCCAAGTCAAAGGCTCGGGGAGTGGTCCCTTAATAAAACCACCTGCTTCGGTCTAGGCGCCCGGGTAGTATCTCAGCCCTCACACAATGAATTGAATAAAGCAACAAACAATCAGTGAAACTTATCGCGTGCTATTACACGCGTTGCAATTTCCTTCTTTCTTCCCTTCCTGATGATAGTTAACGAATACTGTTTGAACTTGTTAAGCATGATTGTTTTCCTTCCAGATGAAGTTCTTTATGCGTTCTCTACTTACTATATATATATATATATATATATATACCTCTTCTTTCATTTTTTCTTTTGATCTATGTTGTTTTATTATTATTGTGTGGCGCATCCTTCTTGGTGCCATATTGTACCAAAGTTTTTATGCGTTTAAATAAATAAATAACTAGACAGCTGTTTGATCCTAGTCAATCTAGACTCTTCAGTTGTACGCACCCACCATAGGGGGTTTGAACCCAGGACCTTCTGGTCACTTGGCCAGCACGCAGACGATTAAGCCACTTGGCCCATGAATTGTAACTTTCGCCAAGCGATAACATTGTGCGACCACTTCGCAATGTCTTCTTCAATGAGTTACTGCCTCACTTTCAACCTGCTGTACCCTAGTAGTCACTGCTTCCCACTAAAACTCCAGTTTAACTGCTTGAATAGAGTCAGTCGCTAGTGAGCATCAGATTAATTTTCAAGTATTGGCTTTGAAGGGATATATTTATATATATGGGTTTTTAAGAAATTATATCCGGTTTGGTAATGGAATCAACTTGATGTCCTATATAAAATAATCCATAAGACGTATAGATTGTTGAAAAGAGATGTATAATTAAGGGAAAAGCAGGTTAAATTAAGGCATCACATAACATGGTATGAAATTTGGTAAGATAAAATTCAGCATGGTTAAAAGAAATTTCGGATTTGGATTGGAAGTCGGGACAAGTGGAAACAATTCACTGTGGGAATAATAATAATAATAATCGTAGTAATGAAGAAAGAGTACCTATATTAACTAAATGAACAAAATAAATTAATATTATTCATTATTATGATTATTATTATTAAGTTTATGGGTGAATACGGATGGAAGAGTCAGTTCCGAACTTAGGCATAAATAGGCTGTCCGGTACACCTGAGTTGTTTTTTCTTTCAGTCATGATCCTCTAATTTGATGTCAGCTGATGATTTCACCTAGTTTATTTTTTGTTTTATTTTTCGTAATCATTAGTCAAATGAAATCTCTTCACCTACTTAATAAACACAGACAAGATTTATCTATTACTTCTGTTTGTGTGTGTATGTGTGTGTGTGTGTGTGTACATGATGTATATGATGAGGAGAGAAAAGAAAAGCAAAGAAGACTCATATATATATACACAGAATATAACAACTAGTTTGTATTGTTTGTTTATTTTTGTAGTCGATATTTCTTTTCTTTTTTTTCTTTCTTTTTGTTTTCCTTAAACGACATGCTACACACACACACACACACACACACACATTTGACATTTAAGAGATGTTTGTTTAATCAACTTGAGATTTTCCGATTCATTTGAATAAAGAAACTATAAGGTAGTAAGCGAAACTTCCTCAAACTGAACTTTATTCAAAAAAAATAATAAATAACAAATTTTCTTCTTTAACTTTTTTACTAATTTTAAAAGTTGTGAATGTGTTGATTAACTTTTACTCTCTCTCTCTCGCTTTATCTATACGGTGAAACTTTTTATTTTATTTAAGTTTGTATATTATTATTATTATTCATCGCTTGCGTGCCGAGTGGAACGTGTCCATTGCAACAGACTCTGTGGCATCATTTTCAACCGGCTATGTGACTGCCAACACAGTGTCATTCCCCCGCCCCCCTCCGGCTACACATATCACTCTTGAGTGATCACGTCTAACTTACTACTTCTCATTCAAGTTAACCGAATTTTGTTGTTGATGCTGAGTGACGAAGATTCCCAGATTGATTTCAGGTTGATGAATGTGTTTCTTGCCTTCTCGATTCTCGCTCGATTTGATATCCTCGTACGTTCCTCCTGTAGTTGAGACAAAGCTGTCTAGATAAGTAACCTCTTTCAAATCCCTCCCGTTGATGGTGATTATCCTGGAGGAGATTGGTTCCAACTGCATTAGAGCTTTGGCTGCTGTTGGTGACATCATGATGGCCACTCCCTCGGTGTGCTCGTGGTTGTCCTCTGGGTGACCAGAATAGATTACTGTCTCTCCAGTTGATAGTTGGCACCTACCACATCCGTTCCATCTGCTTTCGCAGATTCCCAACACTTCTATTCTATACCTTCTCATTTCAGCGGCTATCTGGGCAACCTTTCCAGTTTCGTACTTTGTACAAACATCCCACCTACCCATCCTTATTTTTGCTTTCATCGAAAGAAGACACATCGGCTGACTGGCTTCCTAAAGGCTTTCACCAGCTTGCGTCATCTCACTTCCCCGATTCCAGCGAAGAATAAGGTTATTGTTTATATTTTTAGTATTTTTAATATATTTTTGCGTTGAAGTTTCTGTAGCGATTTGGTTAAGTTTTGGGGGTGGAGTTGCTAGCACCACGCCCCTACCCTCCCTCTCTATCCTGGCTTGGAACCGGCTAGAAAACTAGGGAGCTAGTAGTCTAGGCGAGGTTCATGTCACCAATAGTCTCCATCTATTGGTTCTTAGTATTTTGAGGATCCCCAAAAAGGCAGTCTACACTTCCATAAGTAGCTAAAAATGAAGGTTTAAGAACTTTATATGGATTGATGGTTTGTTTTGATCTGACTATCCCAAGTGTATCTCATATCAGTCAGTTAACTGCGTTTATGAGACCTTTGGTTCAATTCCTGCCGCGATACAGATGTTCGTTTCACCTTCATTTCTCAGGTGTTACATCAATATAATTACAAGACAAAAATAATTCATGTTTAATAATTACACGGTTGATTTTCTTCAAGGATATATAATGTGCATTTTTCTGCTTTCTTTTTCTTCGCCTCCACCCACCCATCCGACCCTACTCCATATCATATGTTCACTCGTCACTCATTATCAATGCCTTCGTCATCATCATCATCATTCGTGTACACAGTATGTTTGCGCTTTTGCTGTCTCCAGTATGTCATCAAATGCAAATCGTATTGGTAAACCGTTCAATCCATTATTAGGCGAAACATATGAACTACATTATAATAATTTTGTATTCGTTGCAGAACAAGTGAGTAACAAAATTTACTATATCTTTGTTCGCTATTTCACTTATATTATGCTGTTGATTCTGTAAAGCTGTAGGCTCACTCATCTAAACTCCTGTATCTCTGACCGAAATAAGTAGTTCGTGGGTTCGAACCCTATAGCCCCGCTTAGCAAGGTTTCAGCAGCCAGGTGATATCATTTACCTCACATCACAGGTGTCAAAATCAGATAGCCGGCCAGAAAGGATCAGCAACAAGGATCTCTGGGAGCAAACCAAACTAGTAGGAACCGATTGTGCAACAAATATGCAGGAATAAATGTAGGTGGATTGGCCATACTCTGAGAAAACCGCCAGGCTGTCGCTTGACTGCGACCCGAATGGGAAGCGTCGAGTCATTTGGTCATCAGTGCAAGGGTTACATGGAGGAGGTGATGCGAATAGGAGATGAAAGAATGTGGGCAGACATGGAGCCAGGTGGAAACGTTAGCAGATAACCGAACGCAAAGGAGACGTGTGTCGCTCATTGTCAACTGCATAGGAATGCAGTTAAGTAGTGTAATTCGTCCATAATCAAGTCTCTTCAACTGATCGCTAAATATATGTTTGAAATGATCATTGTTATCTCGAATTTCCCGTTGATTGATTGATATAGTTAACTGCATCGGAATACTCGGTACACCTGATAAACCAAAAGTGGGAAGCATCAAGGATCCTGACTTCCGTTACTAACCACCATCAACGCGACATCTTAATTCCTTAAAATACTTAACAAGATATCATACATTTTATCTCTAATAACTGTGTGATAACTATCTTCAATGAAAAATTCACAGTAAACCAACTAGCTTAGAGTGCACAACTACATCTTTCGCAAATTGGTCGAATATTACCACATTCGATAGCTTGTTGAATGATTCTGCACAATGTTTCTAACATTCTTCTCACAGTTCTGTTCTTCAATTGCTTTTTCCAGTGTCCGAAACATATTACTGCTTTTCTGATATACTACTTATATCTGATTATAAGTAGCACTCCATACAGTTGTAGGGTCAATAGAAAATACTAGTACATTTAGCACTTGGACTATGACTACATCAAATAAATTAATTAACATGTTTAATTTCAACTCTTACATTACTTTGATTATTGTTATTATTATTATTATTACTTTTAAGGTTTCTCATCATCCACCGATTACAGCTTTTCATGTAGAATCAGAAAATTATCATCTACGTGCTACTGTACAGTTTAAAATCCGTTTTTGGGGTAAATCAATCGATGTTCAACCGAAAGGTTTAGTCACATTAGAATTATTCAATTATAATGAAACGTATACATGGCAAAATGTTAATTTAACACTACACAATGTATTAATGGGTAAAATATGGATGGAACAAGTTAGTCCATAAATGATTTATGTATATTTTTCTTTATATGTATACATATAATTGAACTTTTATTATTATTATAATGTGTTTTCGTTAGGCTTGCTTGTTTGCATATATGTCAAAAATGAAATAGTGTTTCTGTCAGTCTGTAAATTAATTTTGTTTTCATGTGTTGTTGTTGGTGTTATTTTGTAACATCTTATAGTTTGTATATTTGAAATTTGTGCATCATGCTAATTTAAACAGACGGTGAAGTATCAAACAAAAAAAAATAATAATAAAAAAATACAATATGGTCAATACTACAAAATCGCTAACATTTTAATCAGTATTAAATATCCGATTGTGTTTAATTTATATTGGTAGACAGAAGACAAGTAGTTCAGCGAAGAGTCTCTTTTCGGCGAATTCATTTTCATAGCTGTACAATCGCAAATATATATGGTTATTTTGTGTGTGTGTGTGTGTGTTTACATTAAATTTGTCAAACGAAAATACAATTAGTAAGTTCAGGTGAATTGGATGTTCATATAAGAGGATAGTAACAAAAGTGATGAGTTGTCATAAATGATTGTTAAATAAGAGTTACGTAATGGCATGAATAGTTTGATGAATGAGTTGTGCTCAAAGGGTGTACATAGAAACAAAATAATATACAGAATTACACAAGGGTTTTAGGTTGGAAAAATAAGCATACAAACAGAAGTAAGGTCAAATCAAACAAACAAAGAAAAGTTAGGTCAAATCAATGGAGTTGTTACCATGCGAGTAGAAGTGGTTGGATAATTTTCTTTTGTATGCATAGTTCTGGTTCCTCCGACTGGATGGCTAGGGCTTCTGCGATGCAAAGAAGACGGAATCGTACTGTCTTTGGAAGGTTGTTCTTCACTTTGTAGATTACTTTGAAGGAGGCGTTCGTTGAGATGAAATGACCAGTATTGACGAGATGTTCGATTATTGCACTCCTTATATGGCCATTATTTCCTTTCTGTAGCCACGCTGGACAGTGTTCTTTGACCCTTTTAGACAGGATGTATATTGTACTATAATTATTATTATTGTTCCCTTGGGTTCCGACTTGGGCTTCAAGTACACATCTCCAGTCGGTTCTATTTTCTGCCATCCTCTTCAGCTGGTTCAACGAGTGACCATAATCTCTCATCTCCTCATCGCCACACGATCTCCTCCATGTCAGCCTCACACCGACGATCCACTCGTCGCTTCCTAATGGGATTCCACTCGGAGGCGCGCTGGCCTGCATTGTGCGTGATATCATTCGACGGTTTCCTCAATGTCTGCCCGATCCATCCATCTCCATTTGCTCCTACATAATTTGTTGAGCGATCGGCTCATGGTTGGTTTGTTCCCACAGTTCCTTCTTACTAATTCTTTCTGGCCATTTGATCTTCAGTATTGGGCGGGGTGTGTGTGTGTGTAATGAAGGCAGTTGTTGATAAAATTTTGCAATCCATTGGAAATCCTTTTTGTGATATACGCATTACAATTTTCTGACCCGTATAGAAGAGGACCAATTCCACATTTCTGTTAAAATTCCAAATCTTGTTCTTCATCTTGGCTGGGGGTGCAGACAATTTCCAAACTGGTTGTTTCAGGTTGATGGAGGCGTATTTTCCCTTTTTGCAGCTCTCTGGCTGACTGGCTTTGACATCTTCTTCCGTTCCACCAGCTGTAGTTGAAACGATGCTGGCTTCCTAGATAAGTGAAACGGGGTAACCTCTGTTAAATCTCTCCCATTGATTGTGATTGGTTCTGCTTCTGGTTGTTGTGGTTGCTGTTGGTTGGTTATCTTCAACTTCTCTGTGTCCATCTAAAGTCCTGTATTCGCTGCTAGCCTCACCTCTTCAGCCAGTTTGTTGTTTTTCGTCTGCAATCCTTCAAGTTTATATGACATTAGACACTATATCATCTACTCAATCCAGGTTTTCCAGAGTCTTCTTATTGATTGTCCAGCGTATTCCCATCTCCACGTTTTCAAGCGGCAGTGTGACGTATAATTCAGTCCACCACAATTAAGAATATCATCGGTGATAACAGTCAGCCTTGTCTCACTACTGTATGCACTTCAAACGCCTCGCTGAGTTTTCCTTTGTGGATCACCTGACACGTGATGCTGTCATATAGAGCCGCTGGCTGTTGGATAAGGCTGATAGAGACTTAAGGTACGCCGAAGTGTTGAATTAGTTTCCGAATTACTTCTCGGTCAACACTGCCTGTTGTGAAGGCCTTCTTCAAAGTCGATGAAGGAAGTTGAGGTAGAGGTTTGACTTCAAGCAAGTCCTAGTTTGGGACTCTTCAGCAGTACGCACTCACCGGTGTTCGAACCTAGGACTTTCTGGTTATAAGGCGAACAGAAGTTAGAATTTATTGGGTCATTGGATCAGGTCCCACTGGCTTAATGGTTTACGAGTTCGCCTGCTGAAGATCAGATGGACAGAAAAGAAGAGCGACAAAGAACTCAAGGGACGAATTGGGCAAGAACGTATCGCCCCAATAAATTCGTATCGCCCACAGTCGGCTAGGTCACATTATTGATCATATCAAATTTAACCTTTTCATAACCCAAAATACTTAATACTTCATATTCTGGCATACTTCATTCATATATTCTCTTGTGCGTTTATATATTCCCACTACAGACTGGTTCGTTACGGATTACAAATCATACGTTAGGCATTTATAGTCAGTTAGAATTTCTACCAGCTAATTGGCTCGGTCAAGGAGCTAATCGGTTCGCAGGGGAATTATACGCTCCAGCATCTTTAAACAATACAGTGATCAGATCGGCTTCGTCGAATTCTTCATCAAGTGTTAACACGGCTAACCCTAGCAAGTCTAATTCACATGTATTGGAACGTGTAATTTTTGGCAATTGGTGTCGAGGTCTATTCACTGTTGAACCGAAAATATGGAATGAAAGAGAAGAAGTGAATGGGGTGAGTAAAAATTAAAACTTCTATCAGTAGTACATCATCTGGTTGTTGTGTTACATATATTAGTTTCAGAATTATAGTGATACGATGTACTATTTCCTATTACTTTTCTAAAGACTTGTCAATATATGGTGTTATGCGGAGTAAATTCATGATTAAAAAATTAGTCGCACGTCGTCCTTGATGTGGACCGATTTAAGCCGACATAAAATTGTGTTGAAAAAAGGTTAAGGATAGCCAGAATAAAACATGGCATTAATCTGTGAAGTCGATTACATTTCTTTTCTCTTTTTTTTGATGTGGTTTTATTCTCTGAGCCGGATAGTCGATTCGCGAATCTTTCATCACCCTACTAGGTGACATCTTCAGCACATACTTCAATTTGTTGAAGTGAGCTTCATATCCACGATCATAAGCTAGCCGTCAAAAGACATGATATCCACTCCATCACTCATATCACTACATACAGACAACCACGGACATCAATTCGACTGGGACAATGTTTAAATACTAGACAGAGGAAACAACAAGAATGCTAGATAATTTTGAGAAACCTGGCATTCCAGTGAATCATCAATCAATAGACACATCGAGATAGACAAAATTTATCAACCGATAAGAAAGAAACCTCACACACAAAGGGTCAAAAATCAAGTCAAAGAAACAATCAATCCCAATCCAAGTAACCTAGAAGGTGTGAAAACACACAAAAACGACCAATTACCTCCAAGTTCACCAGGAGATTAATAAACTCGTGAAGAAATCTTAAAGCTTACTTCAACAAATTAAAGTATGCACTGAAGGAAGATGTTGCCTAGTAAGGTAATGAAAGCTTCGCAAATCAACTATCCAGTTCAGAGAACACATATATAAAGAATAAATAATTTATCCTTCACTTTCCCAGTGGAACATAGGGCTTCAAGCTAGTGGCTTGAAGTTTCTGTAGCAGTGTTAATATTTTACAGGATAGGGTTGCTAGCCTCATGCCCAACCTTTCCTCTTCACCAGCATTATTTCTGGCTCAGCGAGGTAAAGGAGTGAGTTGGTGGCCGGGATTGAACCCCGGACCATGTGCATGGTCGGTGAGCGTACTAACCGCTGTAACACCGACGCACTCTAAGAGAACACAACCACATCAAATCTTCTCTATCGTATCTACAGTTGCTTTCTTCTATATGAAAATTGAGAGATCATTCATCTCAGCTAATTTATAAGTAAGAGGAGGTCTCTCAAAAGTGATGAGCATCTGAATTTTTTCAATAATCGTAAGCCTAGCTATCCGGATGCGTCAGTGGCACAGTGGTTAGGGCTCTTGCCGACCATGCACGTGGTCCGAGGTTCGATCCCCAGCCGACGCACACCCGATATCTATGGTCGGCCTGCAATATTTAGGCTACCGATATCACATGCTGAAAATTCCATACTTGTACCGAAAATACGGTGTGGTATCAAGCTATAATCAACATAATATGAGAAACTCGACTTTCTACCATCACCTTCACCTGGTCTCACAACTGCTCACAAGTGTTGATCCTCTCCTCCTCTGCAAGTGATCTTCTTCATGTATTACTTGAAGCCACGCCCAACTCGTCGCTTCCTTTTTGCGTTCAACAACTGAGAAAGCCTGGTGGGGTATTTGATTTGAAGGTCTCCCCAGTATCTACAATGTCTAATCCATCTTATTCTCTCTGTGCTGTCGCCGATCACACGTGACTTTCGCAAATACTTCAAAGGATTACACAACTGTGGATTGAAAGTTATTAACTTGGATTAGTGTTCACTATCTGCAGGTGTTTGATTTTAGTTTTCTAATTATTTTATTATACGAATACTACTAACCAATATACAAATATGATTGTACAACTAAATAAATGAACTCACTTTGAAAGGAACTACTCGCTTACTGAACCATTTGCCCTTCTCATATTTTATGTGAAAGTAACATAATGAGTAGTGTTGTTTGAACTCACTTACTTAGAAGTAGGCTGTATGAGTCAAAGAATTATCGCGTGATGGCTGATAATACTAACCAGCTAGAGAAGTTGGGTTGAGTGGAATTCTAACCCAGGAGGCGACTGGTTGAAATTTGAGTGCGTAAGCTCTAATCATCAGCCACATCTGTACAATCGTGGGTGGAGAGTAGTAGTTCAGTGGAAATCTTTCCATGTAGTGCATACAATCAAATTGACAATTTGCAATTTAATCAGTTCAAGGTGAAAAATCATCACAGTTTCCTATGGGAACGGAGGATATTCACAATATACAATCTCCTGGACACTGTAAATTGCGACCAAGAATGCAAGAGAAACAGCATGACGGTGTATAACCAATTCACCCAAGTAACTGGCCAGATTTTGAGGGAAATACATTATTTTGTTTATTTGATCTATTACACAAAGCTTAAACTTTTTACTGACATTAAGATTTTGAGTGGTTCCAGCGGAGTAGTGGACCGCTGACACGCCCCGACTCAAACGAGCCAGAACGTCATCCAGTGCTTAGACCACTAGTTAGTATACATTGTTGGATGACATGAGAGACATCCAACCGCTCACACCAACCACCAGTTTTACATATGAAGTGGCGCATGTCCACGAAGAAGGCGGACGAAGACTACACTTGCTTATGTCATATGATTTGAACTAGTTAAGAAGGAGAGAAAATATTTTGACGAGTTATCTGTGATCGTAAATTCGTAAATTGGGGTGAGGTGGGTGGGGTGTAGGACAGGTGAAGCCTCTTCGAAACTGCATTCAAGAGAAATATCATGTGATCTAGCAGGTGGCACATCGGTGTCAAACTTCTAAAGTTACACCAGAAACATTGGAACTGCTAGAAAGCAAAATTATCATACTGTTATCAGTTATGAAATAATAACAATAGTACTCTAGTGAAACACCATGAGTTTCGGTAATGTTGTTTCTTTAAAATGACCACCAATCATTCATGTGATTAATCACTGGAGAATCCTGATAAAATAATCATAATGAGAAGAGAATTTGGGCCCTGTTTGCTGGTGGAATTCCACCCTGGAATAATTTTACTTAGCAATAATCACATAGAGTGATATCGAATTATTTATTGATGATGACGTTTTGAGTACATTTTATCTCTCATCATCTGATCAAGGTGCTACACACGCGTATAACCTCTCCTAAAACAAACATTGAATCTTCACCTTAAAGGTATGATGGAGACATGTGGACGACATTTTCACAGTGTTGAAGAAGAAAATAGAACATATCTCTAGTTGCTTCACGCATACAAAACTCAATAATAGAGGGAAGTAGTTTTAATTCCAGTGAGGATAAAATTTTATTTTGATTAAGTCACACAGTGTTTGTTACACAGTATTATTTACTGATGAGGACGTTTCGAGCACAATTTATTATCGCTCATAAGCATATCAAGACAATACTCACACACCTTTGTTGTTTCGTTTCTGTGCGTGAGTAAAGGTGATCAGACGTATGAATAAAAGTCAATAAAAGTTCATTAGACACGCGTGAAACAGGAAGGAAGATAATGTATATTGGGAAATAATGTTAGTCTTATCAATAGTCTCAGAGCCAGTTGAAAGTGATGACAGTGGACAGACTACATTGAATATGTTCATCTGAAGCTCTTTATTCCACTCGGAATGTAGGGAACGCTCAATAATAATGATAATAATATTAACAAAGCTGACCATAGAGATCTTGTGTACCAAAAGGAACTTTATGAGTGACTGTCATAGTTCGGTTACTCACCTAAATAATGTGACTTACAATTTTCACCAAATCAGTGTGGCAATACTCATCGACAGATCAAATATTGCTGAAAGTCAACTAGTGACATACAAAAAAACACAACTGAATATCATATTGAATGTTAGACGGTTTGTAGGCAAACATAAGGGAGGGAGCATTGTGCATACCTTTCATGCTAATCGGAGTTCAGAATTATTGTTATTAAATGGTTGAAGACAATCGACCATAGGAAGCCTTGTTGACAATCACCAGTCAGCACGAAATATCTACAATCTTGAAGGAACTCATGTCCCTCCTGAGGTTCGAGCCCGTGTCACCCAGTGCTCCCTGTAGTCACCGATGTTACCACTGAACTATTCGGGCTGGCGACTGACATCCTGTAGGACTATTTGGATACTTTGATTGGACACTGGTTAGTAACTAGTATTATTCCAAGCAGGACGAGACTTAGGTCGAAGGTTTCCTGCCGACTACCTCCGACCATCTAATAACAACAAACAAAGGACTAAACGCATGATACTAGTTACTTAGTGGTGTTCAATCTTCTTTTATCAATCTTAGTGATTGTAGGTTATCTGAATACGGCTATTTAGTCCTACCGTAACTGAGACTTTCATTCTGCATTCCATGAATAACAGTCTATTAGCCACAGGCTTTCTTAAATAGTCTCATGTTTGAACCCCATATCCAATTATCAAAATATTCAAGTTTTTGCTTGTATGGATTTGTTTGTTTTCTTTGTCGGTCAGAAATTGGCTACAGTTAGAGAGGTATTCAGAACCGGGGAGTACTGGACATTTGTTTCATCGCTACCTACAACTTCTAGTCAGTTCACATTCATGACCCCACGCGAGAACGAACCCATGGCTTTCAAGTTACAGGGCGAAGTTGTATACCAGTCAACCTCCTAAGATGGAATCCAATTGTCTCTCAATTCTGACTTCGGTCATTTCGCGATATAATGCGACCTCTTACCAAGAGTATCGGTAAGTATCTGTCCTCACGCTGCACTTGTTCGACCCCGCTGATTACAAATAGAGTTCCAGTCAACTTCATCCTGTAGTGAGTAATCTAAAGGTCCTGGTTCCAGATCCTGGTAGGGGTTGTGGGCGTGAACTGATGAAGAGTACCTCGCCGGGACGAAATAGCTGCCCAGTACTCTTTGATTTTGAATATTTCACTAACTGAAGTCAATTTGTAACTAAAAATGACATTTAAAGAATATTGTTCTTTCCTTTTATTAAGTTTTATAATTTTCATGTCCATTCACCTTGTGTGTAAATCTTCCTTCTTACACAGAAAGGTAATCCTACTGAGGCAGTTGTTAATAATCCGGAGTTGACTGATACACCAGAGTATGGATTTGAACTGCCATTAACTGGTCAGTGTTGTCTATGGCGTGCACGACCAAAACCATCTGATTCATCTGACTACTATAGTTTTACACAGTATACAATTGGTTTGAATGAGTTAAACTCTACTGTGAATCCATCAGCTGATGATGTCACTACTACTGATCACAGTAATCATGACTTTGAAGTGAATACCAATGGTAATATGTTGAATTGTGTGACGAGTGAAATCCCGTCAAGAAAAAATTCCATCTATGGGAAATTTTTACCACCTACAGATTCAAGATATCGACCAGATTTACGCTTATTTGAAATGGGTAAAATTGGTAAGTGTTGTAGATTTCAATTTTATTCACCTGTTTTGTTGTTTTTGTTGTTGTTGGTTGTGTTGGTGTTTAATAATAATAATAATAATAATAATAATAATTTACTTTATTCCAAAAACAGTACTTGTGATACAGAGTGGAATTTTCAGCTTAAATCACAATATTGCATCTAATTTCCTCAAATTATAAATAAAATTAATCACACAGAAAACTTTTCACATTTACAATAGAGGTAATGTCAAAAACATGCAGCATATAAAATGGAAATAGCAATAATAATGATAACAGCTAGGGTAATAATGATAAGAATACAAGTGAAAATTGACGTGGGCTTGTTTCACACAGTATTGTCAATGCGGTATAGAAATCCTAGCATGTTTAAAAATATGATATGGTGAGGGGAAAAACAAAGATTACAGCAGTCATAGAGATAAGTTGGTGCTTGCAATTATGAGAGTAAAACAAAGAAGCAACAGATGAAAAAAGGTTAGTTAATTGTTGCCTGACACTATTTTCATCACATAAAATACGTGCCAAGTATGGTATCATAGAATTTCTATACTTAGACGTGCGAGCATACAGTTTTCTGAAGTTACTTCTTGTTCTACCTGAGGAGATGCAAGGCCAAAGCTGAGGGTAAAGTGGGTGCTCTAAGTCAGACAAAATCCCTTTAGCAAATTTATTGCACGAAGTCAAGTGCCTATCGACAACGACGTTAACTATGTGGTCCACTGGGACACCACTCACCCTGCTGACCGTCTTCAGCATTCTACCAATTGTGACATAGTCCTTTTTTAGCAAACCAGGAAAGAATAAGGGTGAACAATAAAGAAGGATAGGTAGGATGCAAGAGTTTATGAACCGTAAGAGGTGGGAGGGGTTGAGTTATACCCGAGTGCCCTAACTTCTTAGTGTAAAATATCAGGCGGAATATTTTACTGGAGATCGCTAAGATATGGGAAGACCAGGGGAGATCAGAAGAGAGAATAAGTCCAAGATTTCTGAAGTTCAAATTTCTGATTTAATTCCTATATCATTGTCGTCAATCTTACAACTGTCATGAGAATCGATGACTTCTTTTAACAGTCTTTTACATCTTAAACTGAAATTAACAGTTTGAAATTTAGAAGGATTCAGTTTAAGACCGTTAGGCTCAAACCATTTGCTAACTCCCGACAGAAAGCTATTTATTTTGGTACAATCTAGCTGGGAGTTAACAGCCATTGAAACTGTTAAATCATCAGCGTACTTCACAAAGTTTATTTCATCAGAATGAGGCAAGTCATACAAGAAGAAAGAAAAAAGAAAAGGAGAAAGGACAATGCGTTGAGGGACACCAGCTTCAGTAGGCAATGAAGAGGAAGACTTCCCTTTATATACGGTGTACTGCATTCTATCTGAGAAATAGGAATGTAACCAGTTAACAGCCCAACATTCTGTTTGACTAGCAGCAAGTTTATTTAATAAGATGTCCCTAGGGACCTCATTTTTAAATGTTACTGTTGAATAACTTTTTTACGGTGTAGATTTCGCCATGGACTGACATTTGCTAGTGGAAGGCGGCGGCAGCGGGGGAGGGTGGATTATTATTATTATGTACTCGTCGCCAAATTATTGTTATGTACTGGTCGAGAATTTAATAGTCCTGACGCAAGAAAGACGGAAATTCAGAAGACCACTAGGTTTGCGATGATACTTCTATTTTCCAAAACACCAGGAGAATCAATATATATCACACAATAGTGTGAGAGCAAAATATATATGAATGTCCAAACAAGTGTGTGAACAAATCAATAGACAGTCTTAACATGATTGGCTAATTATAATGGAGTATCGATCCATATATACATAGCGAAATATAACAGACTGTCAAACAAACACACATATTATATGGATGTATATATCAATTATCGAAAACTCAAAAGCATTGAATAACTGCTTTGTTCCTGTTTAAGGACTTTTCAGCAACACATTTACCCAGCATAGATCAAATCCGTTAGCTACTGGTTGTCAGATGAGCCGATTGACTATTCAACCATTGGGTTGGAATCCAGTCATTTTCTAATTTCTAATTTCTGTCACTTCGTCATATAGCTCTGCCGCTTCCCAATGCCATAGAAAACACTCGCTTCGTCTTGACAATGTAGACCTCAATCACCATGACTTCTTCTATCCAGTAGCCAGCATTGAGCTGCAGATTAATGTTCATGATTGGATTCTGGCCACAGTGGCTGAATTATCAACGAGCTTTGCCTGATAGAGTATACATCCTGGGTACGATTCGTGCTGAGATGTTGGTTTCATACTACTATGAAGTCCTCCTTAGTTTTCACTGGTTCTCTAATCGGTGTCAGTTAGTCATTTTAACTAACTTGTAGTCAAATCCAGTATTTAGATACTATTTAATTCATGTTTGTGATTGCGTAGGCGTTGCACAAGAGGTAACTCGCGTGCTGGCATTTAAAACGGCAACAGGGTGATGCAGATACATTAAACTGATGTATCTCAGATTGGACCGAATACGTGTCTATAATTCCCTTATCCAGACACTTACTAGTCGAATTAGACAATCAATATTAAACTGTTATGTTTTTTGGAAGAATCAATAATCTAACGATAGAAACTTAGTGTACTGCAAGGATTTTTTGGTTCTCCTTGCATTCCCTTGATAATTTATTGCTTTCTTATAGTTTTATTTACTATTCTCTTTCTTTATCTCATTGTTTTATATGTCAACCTTAGATGATGTTCTCCTTATGCAATCACTTATTTTAAGAACAGTTCATTACATCTTAATCTGGATTCCTTTGTGTGTGTATGTGGGTGGGAGGGGGGGGTTAAAGTTTAACAGTGAGTGGAAATACTAAAGTGCGATAATATTGGTGTATAGGATTATGAGTGACAATTGATTAGATAAATAAATAAAGGAGGATTTAATCATGAGCTGACATCAGTTAGAGAGCCACTGGAAAACCTGGGAGTACTGGAAAGCTGTTTCGTCCTAGTTTGGGACTCTTCAACAGTACGCACCCACCGGGATTTGAACCCAGGACCTTCTGGTTACAAGGCGAGCTCGTAGACCATTGAGCCACTGGGACCCGATCCAATGGTCCTTGAATTCTAACTTCTGCCAATTCACGACATAGCGCGACCACTTCGCAATGTCTTCTTCGATGAGTTACTGCCTCATCTTCAACCTGATGTACCCTACTGGTCACGGCTTCCCACTAGAACCCCAGGTTAACTGCCTGAATAGGGCCAGTCACTAGTGAGCACAGACTAATTTTCAAGTATTGGTTTTGTAACCAGAAGGTCCTGGGTTCGAATCCCGGTGGGTGCGTACTGCTGAAGAGTCCGAAACTAGGACGAAACAGCTGTCCAGTACTCCCAGGTTTTCCAGTGGCTCTCTAACTGATGTCAGCTCATGATTAAATCCTCCATGCAATCAAACAAAATCCCTACAAAACCAATACTTGAAAATAAATAAAGGTCAACCTAAAGTTCGATAGACGTGTGTCAAAAATAGATGATCGGAAATTAAAGTACACTTGGAAATGTGAGTATCATATGACAAAAACATAGGATGAATGAAATGTTGTCAAAATAGTAGACTAGATAAAATGTTAGAATATGATAACATTAAGTATAATGATATAAAACAAAAATGGAACATGGAATAAAGCGCTAAATCACGAATTGGTAGAAGTTAGAATTCATGAGCCATTGAATCGGGTCCCAGTGGCTTAATGGTATACGACTTAGCTTGCCTTGTAACCGGAAGGTCCTGGGTTCGAAACCTGACAGTGGGTTCGTACTTCCGATGATTCCCTAGCTAGGATGAAATAGTTGGCTGTCCAATACTCCCTGGTTTTCAATCGTTCTCTAACTGATATCAATCCATGATCAACTCGTAAAAAGGGTAAAAAAAAGTTGTTATATGACTTACATTATAAAATCAAGACCATGAGGTAACGAAACAGACCGTACAAACTGTTCTGGCTTTCTGTTATTTTTCGAGTGTGACCACGGATTGATATCAGTTAGAGAACCATTGAAAACTAGCAGGGAGTACCGGACAGCTGTTTCATCCTAGTTTGAGAACCGTTGGTAGTACGCACCCCTCCCCACACTGCCAGGCGAGTGAGCTCGTATACCGTTCAGCCACTAGGACCCAATTCAATGACCAACCAATAAATTCTAACTTCTAGCAATTTGTGATTCAGCGCGACTGGCACCAACCAATGTCATCGGTGGAAAATCCATCCTCACACTTGACTACTGGATGGACATCACTGGTTATGACTTCTCACTAGAACAACTCCAGGAAAGGCTCTCCTTTAGGAAATCGCTAGCGAGCATCAGATTTTTATTAATTATTTATTGCCAAAGCCTTTGCTATACAAGGCAAATGCACTCGTGTCCCTTTCAGCAAACTTTGACGAACTTTTAATACCTTTACGTTTTCCTTTGCTGAACAGAACTGGGAGAAGCTTTCGATCGTGGCGGTGAGATATGTTTCCCGCCGCGTAAGATCAGGTGATTATATAAATTCACATGAAATTAGATAGTCAAGGTAACATTGAAATTGTTTGACATTTGGGCGCATCAGTGGTCAGCTAGATTAGGTTGGTTATTCGTGAAGTGGCAGCAAAGAACGTTTTCCTCAATGATCTCGTTATACAATTTTTAATTACCTCACTCGTTATGTCACCCCTAAATCCTAAGTTTAGGTGCAAGAGTTTTTTAGCTGCCTTATCAATCTTTGTATTTGTTCCACGTAATTTGCTATTGGCCTCTACGAAGCGTAATGGGTACTCGTTCTCTATGAAGGTTTCTTTCAGTTGTCTGAGTTCCTTATCAACAGTATCTTCGCTTCAAATTCTGTTGGTTAACCGCTGTTTATTTATTTAGTTAGTCATTCATATACTTATCTAACTAGCTGTGTCTCATAATCCTATACACCAATATTATCCCATTTTAGTATTTCCCCTCACTGTCAAAACTTCAACACTCCTACTGTAATTCACAGATATATACAATTGTACAGCTATGAAAATGAAATCGTGGAAAAGAGAGTTTTCTTCGCTGAATTCTTTGCTTTAAAATATCTCGATAGGGATTATTGTTGATTGAATTGTATTCTTTTATCAAGATTTATCCAACATCCAGTGCCAATCACCATCAACGGGAGGGATTTGAAAGAGGTTACTTCATTCACTTATCTAGCTAGGGAGCATTGTCTCAACTACAGGAGGAACGGTCGAGGATGTCAAATCGAACGAGAAATGGGAAGGCGAGAAACACATTCATCAACCTGAAACAACCAATCTGGAAATCTTTGTCACTCAGCCAGCATCAACAACAAAATTCGGTCGGATTTTCAATACAAACAACGTCAAGTCAGTCAGTTCTTCTATACGGATCACAAAGTTGGCGGGTGGGTCACAAAGAATATTTCCAACAGCCAGCCTGTTGCAGACCTTTATCAACAACTGTCAACTATCGCTCTATACTGAAGATCAGATAGCCGGGCCGGAAAGAATCACCAAGAAGAAACTATGGGAAGGAACAAACAAAACAAGAACCAATCGCCAACCAACAAATATGCAGGAGGAAGTGGAGATGGATTGGACACTCGCGACTGAGGAGGCCGCTGGGTGACATCGCGCGCGTCAGGCCATTGCTCGAGTGGAACCCTATAGGGAAGCACCCGGCTAGTGGGACGTCAGTGCAAGGGTGACGTGGAGGAGATCGTGTGAAAAGGAGTTGAAAGAGTATGGACTAACATGGATGCAGGTGAAAAGTAAGTACAGCAGAAGGAAGTGGAGATGTGCAGTAGAAGCCCTATGTTCCACTAGGAACCCAAGGGAACAATAATAAAAAATAATAGTTAAGATTTATCAATCTTTTATTTTCCTTATTATGTCATCTTTTCGATATACCTTATATTAAATTCCTTACCACTTTGAATTGTCATCACACTTATTTGAGATTATTATTTTTAGTAGTAGTTGTATTATCATATCAGATTACATTTTCGGATCGCCCTATTCATCAAACTTACGGTAGAGGGTTTGTCATTTTTTATTATTAATAATTTGTACTTTCTGCTCTTTTTCGATTAATTAGGTCATTTGTTTTTATTCCCCAAAGGTGTGGACAGACTTACTTTGTATTGATTGATTTTATTCTCTGAAATATACACCATATTAATTTCCATTTGACATACAGCTTCTTAAATGAATACCTACCTACATGGAGAATTAGTGCACAAATAAACATACACTAAAATGAGATTCACGATCCGATCCAATCTGATTCATTCTACAAATAATTAATTAATTAATTGATCAGTTTTATCAACCTTTGTCTTCATGTTTAATTAACCTCTATCGGCATGATTAATTCATGATCATGAGAGAGAGAGTAAACACTATGTGAACAGCAGCTTGTAGAGGAAAGGAAGACAGATGGACATTCATGAATTACCAAACAGAATAGTTCAGTGAGGGGTTCTCTTCTTTCGGCAGCGAATTCATTCACACTTAGTTGTATAATCGCAATTATATATAATTATTATGTTTCCTATGTGTGTGTGTACATTGGCTGTGTCAGACAACAAAAAATAAATTAGTTAGGGTTGTGTTGTTTACATCATCAAAATATTCCCAAAAAGTGTGGTGAATAATCCAATTATAATTAGATGGTGGTAGTGGTGGGGTTAACATTAGTAAGTAAGAGGGTAGTGGTGAAAAGCAAGTTGGTAGAAAAAGCATCAAAAAATAAGACTTCAGGTGAACATAGATAAAACAGATGTGATGAAGATTCCTGGCCAACAGCGACAGCAAAAAACAATCAGCATAAATGCGAGGAATCTGAAAGAAACAACCTCCTTCACCTACCTACCTGGGAAGCATCGTTTCAACTACAGGCTAATGGAACTGACGAGGATATCAAAGCCAGAATCCGAAAAGCAAGACAAGCTTTCATTGCTCTCAAGTCTGTGTGTAGGCCAACAGCATTCAGCATCAAACATAAGATCCGGATTTTCAACTCCAATATGAAGTCAGTGCTACTCACTGTACGGATCAGAGACTTGGCCAGCGTGTCATAAAGAGTACCTCAAACAAACTACAGACCTTCGTTAACAGTTGGCCAGAAAAGATCAGATACAGGGATCTCTGGCGATGAGCGAACCAACCAGGAACCGATTGTGAAACAAGTAGGCAGGAAGAGATGGAGGTGGATTGGCCATACTCTGAGAAAACAAACCATCAAGTGACATCATAAGACAGGCCATTGCTCGAGTGGAACCCAACCGAAAGGGAAGCGGCGAGTTGGTCGTTAGTGCGAGGGTGACTTGGAGGAGGTCATGTGAGGAGAAGATGAAAGCATGTGAGCAGACTTCGAGCCAAGTGAAAACTCTAGCAGAGAACCGAACGCAATGGAGACGCGCGGCTGAAGCCCTATGTTCCTCTAGGAATTAAAGGAAATAATAATAATATTAATGTTGTGTGAAACAATAAGGTTGAATAATTTTGTATGTTTTCATTTTACACTGGGCTTTTTTTTAAAAAAATTTCAACTTCCTTTGTAGATGAAGCAGCTTCTGAAAAACTTCGTTTAGAAGAAAAACAACGTCATGTACGTAAATTGTCAAATCAACGGAAAAACAGCGGTGGTGGTGTTTTCAACTGGAGCTTATCAACAACTAATCATAAAACAACTGGTAGAGATTCATGTCCGATTACATCAGATTCTAAGGAAAGAGTTAGTGGTGCTACTACAACCACTACTAATAGTGGTAGTGGTGGAGGTGTTCGAACATGTAATCCTTTTCGTAGAACAGTTTCAACTAACTCAACTGTCAATTCTTCTTTGGTGACGAATAATAACCTACCTAAAGATGTTAATTCAATTGTTGTTGGGCCTATATGGTTTATTGAATCAGTTAATCCGTTTACTAAACAAGAAGAATGGATATTTACTGGAGAATATTGGAAAAGAGATTGGAGAAAATGTCCAGATTTGTATTAATTCAGGTCTATTTTGTTCTTCTTTTTTGATTAGATTATACCAATACTTATACACACACACACACACAAGTTATCTGACATCTGTTCATTTAGTTCGACGCTTTTTCTCACTTGTTGTAATTATTGTATTTTAATTTAGATGAATAAAATTCAGTATTTGGATTCTGTAAACATGACAGCTGAACACTGTCAAGTTAGGCTTCTCTATTTTTAAATCTTTATTTACGATTATTAAACAAGCAGATATGGAACACTTCATAATTATTTCGATTCATCCACTCTCTCTTTCTCTCTCTGCCACTCTGCCGGCCTGTATCTCGGAGATTATTTTTGCATTAAGTAGCATTTATTACTAATGCTTAACTCATCTTTCCCATCCCGCTTACTTTAACACTCACACAGACACAGAGGAAAACACAAATCAAACATTTATTTATCTTATTTGACTCTATTTTCGTTTTGATATATTAAAACAAATTAAACAAATATGTGAACTTATTTTGAAGTATCCACTTATCTCTATTTTCTCTCTCTCTCTCTCTCTCTTACAAATACCACCATCATCATCATCAACTTTTTCGTTATTCATTTCAACGTCTTACTTTTTTCGACAACATTCGATTTCCCTGTGATACAATAGTCATTTTTTTCAATTCGCTATCAAATTTTGGCTTATCACGGACATGTCATTCTCACACACGTACAAATACACACATACACACACAATTACAGAAATACAGCGAGAATCGATAATCAAGATTACTCTTCTGAAAAAGTAGTATGTTTGTTTGTTTGTCAACTTCCGCTCTTATTTAAATCCTCTTTAAAAAAACTACTTCACTACTTAAGAACAGTCTAACAACAAAAGTAGTGTTGTTGTGTGGACTGTTGAGAAGATTTATCAGGAATAATATGTAGGCTCAGATTTATGATATGTAACAAAAATAGGAATCAACATTTTCAGCTTGTTGGTATGTAACAACAGAAGACAAGGACCAGGCAACAGATCATCTATGTGTTAACTGTATCCGTCCACGCAAAGCCTTTGTTCTCATTTTTCTCGACCAATATTGGGGACATGAACATTGACGTAAATTACTGTCCACCAATTTTGACTAACAGCCAACTCTCACCCCAGGTGCCTAGTTTATTATATCATTATTATTATATCCTTTAATTTCTAGAGGAACATAGGGCTTCAGATGCGCGTCTCCATTGCGTTCGGTTCTCTGCTAGAGTTTTCACTTGGCTCGAAGTCTGCCCACATGCTTTCATCTCCTCTTCACATGACCTCCTCCATGCCACCCTCGCACTGACGACCAACTCGCCGCTTCCCATTCGGTTGGGTTCCACTCGAGCAATGGCTTGTCTAGTGATGTCACTTGATGGTTTGTTTTCTCAGAGTATGGCCAATCCGCCTCCATCTCTTCCTGCCTACTTGTTTCACAATCGGTTCCTGGTTGGTTGGTTCGCTCATCGCCAGAGATCCCTGTATCTGATCTTTACTGGCTGGCCATCTGATCTTGAGTAGTGTTGAGCGAAAACAATCGTTAATGAAGGTCTGTAGTTTGTTTGAGATGCTCCTTATGACGCGCTGGCCAAGTCTCTGATCCGTACAGTGAGTAGCACTGAGTTCACATTAGAGTTGAAAATCTTATGTTTGATGCTGAATGCTGTTGACCTCCACACAGACTTGAGAGTAATCAAAGCTTGTCTTGCTTTCCGATTCTGGCTTTGATATCCTAGTTAGAAGCCTTTATTTCTCAAGTCCGCATGTAGCTTACTTTGTGGTCAAAAAATCATCTGGATTTTTAACCTTCAGATAATCTAACTACCAATCAGAATAGTTTACTTACACTTTATCACAAATGCGGTTAAGAATCTGTGGATATTTTGCGTTCTCCTAATAAAAGTAGTCTGTTACCCAGTTGATTGTCTGCACTTATTGTCTCTGCCTCCAGATAACGAAGGTCCCATGGCCAGCTGCCTTCGAAGGAGGAGAAATACGAAGCTTCTTACGGGACTTTGATGACACCGCTGAGTTGATGGGCGTCAAGAATCCGAAGGCGATTGTGCTGGGGACTCTTGCTGATAGATCGGGTGAAGGTGAGGTACGACAGTGTTGAGCGACTGGGTGATAAAGACACCTGAAAGGTATTATTAGAACAATTGGTGGCGGGGTTCAACAGCTTCACGGACAGACAGCTAGCAATACAGCAGTTCTGTGTTGTGAAGTCGGGACCTGACAGAAGCTCGTTAGCTTTGGTGATGAAGCTGGCGAGTCCACTACGTCGTGCACTTCCCCCATTGTATGAAGAGTGACAGCCGCAGTTACTGCCGTCCCATTTCGCCGACAGTGTCCAAGACCAAATCTCAGTAACTATAGCTGGTTAACGCTGTACAACTCATGGACATCAGTGAGCAAGCGAAGGTGACCATACAGCTGTTGGGCACAACGATAGTCGCAAGAGAGCAACAGAAATCGAGTGAATGGGAACGGGAAGTTGATGATTTACAGTGTCTCTCATTCTTAAGGGCTCTAGGAATGAGTGCCAGGAGAGATCAATGCTTTGAGGGTGACAAAGCAGGACACTGAAGTAGGCACTGCTCAGAAAGAAGAAGAAGAAGAAGGAAAATGCATACCATTTGGACTAGCAGCTGCACCGTTTATCTTCAGACAACTGATGATTCTATTACTTGGAAACTTGAAGAATGCGGAGGTGTATGGTGATGATCTCGCCATCGACAGTCGAAGCGAAAGCGACCATGTGAACCATCTCGAAGCCGTACTAAGACGCACTGAAGAGTTCACACTGCATTCCAACAGAACCAAATCTCAAATACCCAAACGGAGTGTCACGGCATTAGGTCATAAAACAGGCAACAGTGGGATAAAGTCGCTATTGGAAGAACCCTAAGGATAAAGACCGTTACGCTCCCTAAATCCAAAAGAAGGCTGAAGTAGTTCCTATGGAGAGCAGAGTGTTCCGGTCGATTCCTGACAAATTTCAACGAGATAGCAGACCTTCTGTGAAGGTCATAATGTGAGTTGAAGTTTGTTTGGTAGAAAGGTTCGCAGGAGATATTAGACAGTTTTAAACAGAGTTTAAACCACAAGTAAACGGCGACAGAACTGCCTGTACCCGGAAAGCACTTTTAGGTGTGCACAGATACGAGTGACTACGACATAGGAGGAATACCTAGACGGGATGAAGGAGTTGTCGAATTCGCTAGCCGTGTTTTAGCACATAGCAGAAGCACTCGACAACTGAAGAAAAACGTCCAGCGATAGACAAATGGAGACTGTATTCACTCAGCAAATGGTTACACATCTCAAATAATCACAAACTACTACAATTCTTGAAGACGACGACAGCCCCACGTGAAAAGCTATCGCGGCAGATGTTGTGCCTGCAGGAGCGCGACTGCATGATCTCTCACGTTCGCGGAACAGGACATATTTTGATAAATTCTTATGTGGACACGACAGTGGATCTAACTTACAGCTGGTTGCTTACGAGGTACATGCATTGGAACAAGTTCCCTTTAGAATTGTCAGCAATCGGAAATCTGACCATACATTACCTTATTCCATAGCGAATCCGATAATATAACCCATTGTTCAGTAAAAGAAGCAGATGGTCGCTCGAAATACATAGGTGAACATGGTAATGACAGTGCCTGTAATGTAGGGACGTCAAGGTACGCTGAACCAGTGGATGCCGAACCATACTCGAGCCTAATTAACGAGCTTAAATACATCAAACATTATTTCAACTCTCAACTTTACATAATCCTCATTAATGCTAGATCTATCCTAAACAAACTAACGATGCTCAGGTCACACACTCGTATATTAATCCCCCATAATTATCATTACTTGATCTTGGTGTCAGTCTAATATTCTGGACGAAGAGATAAGCACCGATGGGTACACACACTTTCACTGTGACAGGAACAGGGAAGGGGGAATAGGTTGCCTTACTAACTTTCTGAACACTCACTGTATTGCAACTAGAAAATAGAGAATTCGATAACGTGTACGACACTCTATGGGTCAACGTACACCTCAAAACTGCTACAGTACCAATTGAATGTTCTTACAGAGAACTTGACATATTTAGTGGTTACGAGACCCAACTTATTAATGTACTGGAGCAAGCGTCCACTCTTCCATACAAACATAATACTATTTGTGGGGACTTTAACCTATCCGAAATCAACTGGGATTTGCTAACAAATCCAGAGAAATTTGACAAGCTCTTAGGCATACTGGATATTTTACCTGGAAACAAACTGTCACTATCCCTACACGGGGTGACAACGTACTAGACAAAATATTCCGTAACAAAATAAATTCCCCCTAAGTCTTAGAGGGTTCTGAAATTTTCAGGTAGCGACCACAAAATAGCGTTGCGTGCACTTCCACTGAGTAGCGATATGGCTTATACGTCTTGTCAATGTCCAGGTCTAACTACACTGGACTTCACACTGTCGTTGGAAGACTTTCAGGAACTATGCTCAATAACCAACGCGAAAAACCAGAACACAAATTAGTGACTCAAGAACCGTTTTTTCTTGCACCAATACAGAGCCAACCATCAGGTTATTGTACACAGAGTCTAAGAATAAATGTCATAACAATAAATCACAATAATACTTCTGATAGTTTTTCTCTGTCTTCCAATGAACAGCAAACGATGAAAGGATGACTCCCACCAAAATATAAAGTTGGATTTTAGCAAACAACCATGAATTGATCGTTCAATCTCCAACTACATTGACACGCCTACCTCATAACAAATTTCATATAAGAACTACAGCAAGCAGACTACGGTTTCGCAAAATCAGTGCTTAGATCTTATAAATGGGGAGAATATTACATCACCGGTGACATCTCATAAGCGCCAAGCATCTTCTACCAGAACTTAAACAGAGGCTTAGATGCTGCCATTCCACTCCAAATACTGAAAGCTACCCTACATAAGAATCCATTCGTAAAGCCAAAATGTTGCACGAAAGTTAAAAGGTGCTCGACAAGTAACTTCAAACAACACGACTTCGGCACGTTAGATTCAATGCTTAATACTAATAGCTCTATCCCACAAGCCCATGATTCACGTGGGACTTTTGAAGAACGCACCTCACCAGCCAGTCCTACTAGTGTGTGCTCTTATAGAAATCCTAAGGAAGCTATTGAATCACAAAAGCTACAGCAGTTTTCTTCTCATCGGCTAAGCTAGGCTATTCGCTAACTATTCAGAAATGTGTGAATCATTTAACTAAACGCCTGAAACTAACTATTTTAAAAACACAATCCCATAACTCGGCATGCACTCTACTGGTACGATGCGAAATCCCCGCTTACCCACGTTAAGACATGTGTCATTTCACACATATAACTTCGCAATTATTTCGCTTCCTAACGTCATAAGAACTGAAGTATATTTTGGGACTAAACTGCATTGTAAGGTTGATTGATTAACCAGCTGCGAAACGTGCATGAGCGAATGAACCCAACAAGATGGCCTGCCAAATGGTGTGGATGCTTGACAGTAGGCGTTCAGCTAAAAAGGTTCACTTAAACAGTGAGGATCAGCATCCAATATTCAGTGATGAATGCTGTGGCTCATAATTTCGGGGAATAACCGACCGCTACATCTCACTCCTCCTGTTGGGATTTTGACAACCCTAAGACGAAACCAGTCGGGAGTAAAAACTTAATGGTGTTCCCATCGGTAAAACTCTCCCCTAC